TTAGCTTTTGTGGTTCCCGAATTGAAAGTTGCGAACAAGTTGGTGCGGACACACACACACACAAAGACACAGACAACTCCGCGACAATATGCTTTTTTCACTGCTGTTACACAGCACAAACGCAAAAAAAAAACTCCAATCCCTCAGTCTTCCCGAGTGCCCGTTGTTTCTTGAATTGCTTGTTTAGTTGTTTAGTCGCAGCTGTCGCACTTTCGCTGTCTGATTTCTCTGTGATTTTTGATGAAAGTTACAGCCGTCTTGGAAAGATTGAGATGTGCTTTATCCAAATTTGCCGTCACCCAGCCGACGGGTTCCTTGGCGTTTTTTTACTTTCTTTTTTTTTTTTCATTTATTTGCTTGCTTCGGGTAATCATTTCTTTCCTTTTCGGTGCAATTTCGCGTCTTCCAGCGAACTCCGTTTTTATGGCTTTCCTCTGAACAAAGTAACTATTTTGGTGTGATTTTTATGCATTTTTTGCAGCTATGCAATGCTGAAAACGAATATTGACGAGGAGTTGTCTCTGTGTGTGTGTGTGTGTGTGTGTTTATATCTGTGTCTGTGCGTTCGTCTGTACCGATTTTTCATTTCTAGACCTACAAAAGCTACGGGACTGAAATTTTGGGAGTATAATCTTCATACATGTACGGGCTCCATCCCCAAAATAGGCGCTCTTACTCGCATGGTACCCACGTACGATTCCGCCAAAGTTTTTTTCGAGTAAGTGGCAAACTCGGGAATCTGAGAAGCTAGAAGGCTGAAAAATTGAGGGGATGTTCCTCGTCTAAGTGGGTATTAATGAGCTTAAACCCAGCCCGGATAAGCGTGGTACCTACGTACGGACCCGCCAAAATTTTCTTCGGGTAAGTCGCTAACTCGGGAGTCTGAAAAGCTAGAAGGCTGAAATTTTGAAGAAATGTTTCCTGACAGTCCTGGCGGCCAGTCTGAAATTCTTTTAGCTAGAAGCATTTGTCGGAAAAAACAATGCTGTTAGCGACAAGAATCTACAGAGAACTATGCAAAAAACGCATCTTCGCACGGGCAGCCCGTGCGTTGGCCAGTTATTTTTTTGGTTTTCAGGTGCAAAAACTGCGTATGAAGATTGCCCGACTCCCAGTAACCAATGTGCGCGAATATTTCAAAGGCTTGCGAGCAATTCTCGATGACTTCGATGATGACTGTTGCAAAATTCAGGTAATGCTTCAAATTTTGAGCTGCTTCATCCTTCATTTTCCTCCTTACTTTCCAACGCAAATTTTGTTCAGAAAATAGGCCAGAAATGTGGCAATTTTTACAAATTTGCTGGGCAGTTAAGAGCGGTATTTGCAAA